GTGGGGCCTGATGCCAGTGGGGTTTGGGGAGGGGAGGGACTTCAATGGGGTATAATGCCATAGAGTTCACCTTCCAAAGCAGCCATTTTCCCCAGATGAATTTATCTCTGTCACCTGGAGATCAGTCATAATAGCAGGAGATCTCTAGCCACCACCTGGGGGTTGGCAACCCTTACCAAGCCCTAAGCTATAGTTGCATCTGCTCCAACCCCTCAGACAGAGATACTCACCTGAAGGATCTGCAGCACACATTTTCACAACTAAAATATCTTCCTGATATAATGAGAAAGATGATTGGAAAGGGCAGAATGATACCCAGGGACAGCTTGCTACAAGACAAGCTCAAAGAAGTTGACAACAGAACACCAATGGTGGTCACCTACAGCTCACAACTCAAGCCAGTTCAATGTATTATTAAGACCAACAACCACCCATGCTGGATAGTGACACTTTCCTCACACAGGCACTGGAGGGGGGGGTGACCTTTTCTTGCTTATAGAGAACCTGCTAACCTAAAACAACTTTTCACTTGCAATGATAAACTATTTAACAGTAATATGGGCTCTGGTACCAAGGCCTGCAACAAACCAAGATGCCAACTTTGCTCTCATATAGATCCTAGCAGTGGACCCAGCAACATCAGCCATACCATCGCAGGTTCACGCTCCTGCTCATCCTCTAATGTGATTTATGCCATCACGTGTCAACAATGCCCTTCTGCCCTCTACATTGGACAAACAGGTCAGTCCCTATGACAAAGAATAAAAGGACATAAGTCTGACCTTTACCCAAAAATTTAAACATTGCATGAATATACAGCCTCAAGCTACATAATTAAAAATTAATCCATATTTCATTATGAATAACCTTTGGACTATAATGTATCTTAAATAGATTCTTCAAAAGCATTCCATTAATCCATTCACAATCTCACGCTTTCCCGGAGGTTTCTGTAAGATTATTTTGGACAAGTTTTCTATCTTGAAGATATTACCACAGATATTTGATTTTGCAGTCCTCAAAACTG